CCACTCATCCTTTTACCAGCGTGTACTTTCTGCAACCTCCGTACTTAGCGTTTTCCATCACACTGGGTATAACATTATGCACTAACTTTCTGGTTTGGTTTTCTAGCCATACGGCAGGAGTTGAGTAGAATCAGTACAACATAATGATTGCAAAGCATTTGGACGGTACTAAGAATGCTAGGAAGATTGGATCATTTCTAAGTGTACCAAGGTCATGCAAGATGGTGAGAGAGGACACCGGCACTGTCTTTGTTCTTACACCCTTTTTATTAGCAGACTCAGCACACTTTGAAGCTTGCTGCTGCCTTGGATTCGCTTCATTTTACAAGTCTTAATCTAAAGATTATTAAATTTTAAATTTCTGGATTTTTTAGATTTCATCTGACACTGCACATTGGATTTGTCAGCCTTTTTTGTATTTTGTATTTGCTTATTTAAATGTATTACCTTTCTTTTTAGTAGTAGATAAGAACACACGTGAACCATTTGCTTTTGATAGATGACTTCAAAGTAATTTTACTAGTAGTCTGCAATGTAAATGAAGATCCTTTGCCAACAGAAATGTATTGAGGCATCACCAGAAGAAAGAGACATGTTTAGTTGTCAGCCAAGAAGTTCTTTGTCTCAGAGTTATCACAATATTAAAAAATGGTACGTCAGTGCATCACAGTATCTGTGTTCATATTGGTAATAAACTGTTTATTGTCCACACGGCCCTGCCTTTGTTTCATTTGTCCCTTGAGCTCCTGCACTTGTGTGTCACTTGGTGGTACGAGGAAGGTGACTCACTGTGGGGTGGCAGCCCTGCCTTCCCTCACCCTCGTGGCCCTCACCTGCCCAGCCCTCTCACATGGCTGGCTGAGCACCACGTCCTGCAGCCAGGCTGCCACAACCTCAGCAGCTCTGTGCCAAAGAGAGTGGAGGACAGTGGCTTAAGGCTCTTCTCAGGCCACCAACTATCTGTCCCAGCACATCTCCTGCTGTCACTGAAAAGAGCACAGGTCCCATCATCTGCACCCCTGCAGATTTGCAATAATAAAAAGGAGGTGTCCATGCAAAATAAGACTACCAAAGATGGATGCAAACTGAAATCCCAGGCACAGCACTGCTGACTAGGGACTTGAGGGGAGTCAGTTGTTAATGGTGTGCAGGTCTTGAGTATTTCTGGTACAGGACACTGAACACTTAACAGTGCATAGCCAGTCCTATTATCCAGGCCATGAAATTGTTTCCTTTACGGTCATTCTTCCCTCCAGAGCAATCTTGGGAATTTCTGCTTGACTTAGTCTGGTGCAGTCTTTGCGTGGTAGTCGTCTTGATACCATCTTCTGGTAACCTCATGCAAAAGCCAAGGGATTGGAGTCCAACTATTGAAATCTGTCAAGTATTTTCCAAGATCCCTTCATTTCTTCTGGCTTCCATAAAGATTTTATTTTAAAATCCAGGTGCTGAGGATTGGTTTTGGGAGCAGAGCCTGATGCAGCAGCCCAGGAGAGCCTGTGATTGTCTCCTTACTGGTGGAGCAGGCAGCAGGCACAGCCAGCCTGCCACAGGAGGCCCAGGAGAGGAGGCAGGATGGATCCCATTTGGCAGTCAGCTGTAAAATGTTACCTGTTTTGTTTTGGGGTGTTCTTCAGTAGTCTTTAAAGCAACCCAAATGCCTTTTAGAAATGAGTCTTTTTCACAGTTTGGTTATACTGTAGATTAAATATGGGAGAAATCTGAATTTAATGCGACAGTGAGCTCCAGACTGAGACTGATGTTTGTTAGCTGATGTTCTGTTAGCCAACAGAAGGCAAGAGAGAGGTTAAATAGCAGGATAAAGATTTCCACATGGGAACTAAAGCAGGCACTGATGTGTACTATATTGCAACAACCCCTGGACCACAAGAAGGGGCCATCCCAGTAAGAATGACCCAGACAAGCATCAGTAACAGCAGAGATTAGAATGCTCTGTTGCATAAATCTCTTACAGTAGCTCATGAATTTCCTAATTACAAACCCATTTAATGGCATACCTGATAATGGCAAGTACTCTTCAAAACTACTGCTGCTCAAGATCACATTGTTTTGTGAAACTCTCCTGTAATCCTAATTCAGGTTCTGGAAGTTAGTGCTTGGCATGGTTCATGTTTTCCCTTGGAATGTGGCATTCTGCCTAAGGTCAGTGGTAACCATGTTGTATGGCATGCCCCTGTGTTAACATCAGCCAGCTGCTGTAAATGAGATTTTCTTACTTTCTTCAATTACCTTTGCAGGCCTCATATAATTACGACATAATAAGCTGAAGTTTGCACAGGGCCATTTAACAGTGAGAGCAAAGTATGTGGGGTGGAAGGTGAAGCCTGGCTGACAGGAGCAAGGGAGCAGTCACGAGCACTGTGCCAGTTCCCAGCCTTCAGCTCCAGTGACAGGGATGTCAAGGTGGCTTTTTTCCAGTAGTGGCACTACCAGAGGATTTTCTCCTCCCAGACATTAATTCAGTTTGCCAGCTGCCTCTGCAGGGAAGGGTGTCCTTTCATTCTGGGCTTGTTGAGACACTGGAACAGAGCAGGCCACCGGCATCTTACATAGCAGAAATCTAAGGGGACATCACTCTTCATTCCTTCCTATCATACAGCTATTTGCCAGAGCCTTAGTGTGCCCAAACTATGAAGGAGATTTGGATCAATTTTTAAGCAAAGGGAATAAAACTATACATAGCTCTAACACACTTTTAACCCTGTGGTTGTGAAAAAAACCCTCCTGCCAACATTACTAGTAGTAGCAAAGACAAATGCCCACGGAGAGAAAAGGATCACAGCCTTTTCCAGTAGCACCCCACACATTGGAACTCAGCTCACATTGCACATCTGCAGGCACTTGAGGCTTCCAGGCACTTCCAGTTCCTGCTGAGATGCACAGTGCTGAGCAGGAGGCCTGTGGGGCTGCCCAGGCTCAGCAAGTTGAGACCATGATGGAAATACTGATGGGAGGCAGGTGAAGAAGCAGCTGGCAATTTTGGTTGGCTTATTTACGTCAGAGCCTCTCTGTCAGGCCAGGCTAGTAGGCCACAGCAGATGGGTGACTGGATCATGAAACAGCTGAGTAAGGGAACTACAACATAAGGTCACTCATCAAAGAGGATAAGGACAACAGTCAAATTGAGGAAGATAGCATAATCTTTATTGTGGTTTTTATATTAACTTATTAAATTGGACAAGAGAGTTAAGGAGCAGCTGCTAAAGACATGGGAAGTTGAATACATGATCAGAATGCCAGAAAATCTGAAGTAAATTAATAAAAAACCTGAAATTCTGTGACATGAGGACTGATACAAAGGTAATAGAAGTTCCCACACCAGCACCTCTTCCTTTGGGAGAAAAGCAGCTCTAATAATTAAGATATAATGTCTTAAGTATGTTCATCACTGAGGAACCAGCAAAGGCTGAAATACTGAAAGAAGCCCCATTCTTACTCTTCTTATCCAAAAGCACAAAACAGTATTGGTAAATAAACCAATACCAACCAAGGGTGTTCAGCCCCTGTATTACATATGATCTTGATCTGCTGAGCAAGCCTGGGTATTTATTTACCCAACTGCCAAAATCACATGGGTGAGAAGAATGGAGAATGGGGAAATGAAGGAGGAACCCAAATTGCTGCAGGTTAGCTCAGCTGCCTAGTGAGCAGACAGACTGGCTCACTGGATCCAGAGCTGCTGAAGGAAGTAACAAAGTCGTATTTAGTGAAGAAATCAGGCTTCCCAAGTCTAATAACATCTCTGAGGGACCAATGAGGCTGCACAATAATGTTTTTCTTTGTTACAGTCATGGAGTTCCAGAAGAAAAAACCCCAAACTGTTAGAGGGTTACAGGGCAATTATATATATATATATTTTGATACATAATTTTAATACAGAGCTATTGAGGACAGCCAGAAGTTTATATTTGGAGAACAGGCAGGAAGATTTTAGTATTCCAGTGGGTAGAAATGAGAGATGAAGGTTAATGTCAGTAGCACCAAGTAAGAGATACATAGAGAGAAAAGACCTGATCTCCATGTTCCAGGTACATCCCCTTAACACCACCAGTGTCAGTTTTATATAGCTGGAGTATCATGTGCTTCCCAAATGTCAAGTTGTGCCCCTTGAATGACAGAGGAAAAAAAATGCCATTATTCTGAAAGCAGTTAGGAACAAATACCACCATGGAGATGAGGACATCTCCACGTCTTCACTGACACATACTCCTATCTGCCATGTGGAGAAAAGGGTGTAATACAGAGGAGACCAAGAAAGGTGATCAGGAATGCTAATAGGCATTATTAGCTAATTATTAGCTAATGCTAATAGTCTTGGCAAGGAAAAAATTAAAACTAGAACCTCTCCTTTCCCCAGAAGACTTGCAGTACGGAAAAGGATGAGATACATGAAGTTATGAATACTGTTGAAAATGTGAATGAGAAACCTCCACCCAGTTCCTCTAGAGGCACATCCATGCTGCTCATCAGAAAGTAGGTGGAAGACTAAAGAAAGGATTTTTCCTTGCCACAGTTCAGATCTGTCAGCAATAGTATTAGATCCTAAGAATAGAAATTCATTCAGAAAAGTTTTAGACAAAGTCCTGAAAAAAAGATCAAATAGCAGCTACTAAAATAATGTTAGAGATGTACAAAAATATAAACATATTCCATTGCATATATAAAATTTCTGCTGGATTAGACAAGACATTGAGCTAAAAGCACCCTCACCTACCAGAGAGTTTCATTTACTTCTGCATGCCAGTCTTCCCTGCTTCCACACTCCTGTGCACACAGAGCATCTACTTCCAATCTGGCATCAAGAGAAACCAGTCCTGAACTACACACACACACGCTCACACATAACACACAGCAAACATTCTCCCCTGTAGACAAAGCTAAAACTTGGGCTTAGGCCTAAATTGTCCCAGGAAGTTTAATTCTAAGCCTAGACCAAAGGTTCACCTCATCATTGTTCACTCTAATCTGGGTTCTAAGGGTTATTTATACAAATATCCTTTATTAAAAAGTATCAGTTGTCTAAAATTGCTTCATTTTCACACCCATCCTCTTGGCATAAGCAGCATACACCAACTTTAATTCAGCACACACAAAGATCCTTCTGTTTCTGCAGAAATCTGGAGTCATGGGAATCAACAAACACACACCACTTCAGCAGGCTGAGCTCCCTGTTAGCTTTCCTTCGCCAGCTTGCACCGTCTCTTAACCCTTGAATAAGGACCAAGAGTGTCATCAAAAACAAAGTCCCACAGAACTCGAATCCAGGACTGGTGATGTGGGAGGTTATCATAATATTCTGCTGCAATCTTCTTCACCTGGAAGAAGAAGAGAGACAATGAGCTGTTTGGCTGCACAGAGTCAGATGTGTTTCAACCTTCACATTCCGATCTGATAGCACAGCCATTACCTGAAGTTACTTGTTATTGCTTGTGAACTTCTGAAGCTCAGCCAAAAGAGATGTACTTAAATGCATTTAGATACTTCTAAGCAGATTTCTGATCTAAGTTTTGCCTCACAGTGCCATAATTTGAAAGACAATGGATTGCTGCCTTCCATATTTCATTTCAGGGGTGCCCCTACTATTTCATTTCAAGGGTGGTGGGATGTCTACAGTGAGATACTTGATCAATTGCCAAGACAAGTGCACACTATATTTAAAGCCCTGTTTGCCACTCATAATATTCTTCTGTTGAGGGTTCTGGGTAAAAGAGAATTATCAACTGAGAAAATGACAGACAGCCTTGCCTACACTTTGTTTTCTACCCTGCATTCTGCTACCATGATGCAAATCCAAGAGATGGGTTCCTCCAGCAAGCAAAAAAATTGCAGGGGTGGTCTGTTCTCCTCAGTCTGAAATTAAAAATACTGTGAGATTCATTATTAGGTCACAAGTCTAATAAAATTTCATTCCTGCTATAATTCCCCAAGTCTTAAGACTGCTGCTGTCAGAGAAACACTGTGCATCATTGGGGTGTTGCTTGTAGTGGGAGTTAGGCCAGAACCAGAGGACAAAGAGCTTTCAAAGCTAGCAGGTTCAGAGAGGTTCAAGGGACTGCGAGGATTCCCAAGTTATCAGTTATTATTCCTGCTCCAACTAAATGCTTTGGTTTTTGAACACATTTATGAAGCAGCAGAATCTGTTAACTATATACGCTTGCACATAACTGCTTGGGCATGGCTTTATTGCAGCTCCACCTCCTAGACAAACAAAGCTCTAGAATAGAGTGGTTTGTCTTGCTGGACAACATGACTTCTCTCTTTAAAAACCCTGCAGAATTTTAAAGCCAGCTACACTGAGCACAGTGCAGACTTCCAGTGAAGAGAGAAAGGGTTACACAGAAATCGTCGTGCAGGAAGAGGGTCTCATCACTACCCAAGGTATAAGGGTGGAACCTTAACACAGCATTTGACTGTTTGTGAAAAGGTAAGAATTCCAGTGAAAGTTAAATTATAAGCTAGTGTGTCTCCCTGCTAATTACCTCATTAATTCAGCTTCCTAGCAGACACTTCTCTGTGCAATAGGTTGGATAATGTACAAGAGTCATTAAGATCTTTTACCTCTGTCCCTTACACACTCCTGGTGCTCCTGGCATGGTATGCTGTGCTAGAGATGGAAGATTCAGTTCAGGTCTGACTGTATTCTGTCTTTCACTGAATACCTCCAACTTCATAATAATTTTCTCTATCCTGCTAAAAAGCGTTGGTTTGTACTTCAAAGTAGATAATTTTCAATGGGGTTCAAACAATATCAGGATTTCTCCTCATAAATATTTTTTAATGAACGGAAGAGAGATGATTTGCAGGTTTCCAAGATCTCTGGAGATGCAGATTTAGTTCCCCAGGCTCCTTCTGTAACCTCAGTCAGAAATAATTTAACCTGGGTATTGTATCCTCCCTTTTCCTGGCTGGGTAATTGAAATAACCAGAGGATGAGAGGGAAGACTATTTCAACAGTAAGCTCCCTTGAATGGAGGCTACTCATGAGGCCTGATGCAAACACAAAGTGGGGGCTCAGATACCCAGCTTCAAAAGCTTCACTCTAGCTCTGACACAGTCATTATCTAGCACACAGTTGCTTAGACTTTCCTTCCTACCTCCATTTTAGAAATTGTGCCTTTCAACTATAGTTGAGCCCTCATCTACACTACTCAAGTTCATATGGCAAGTCTACCATTCCCCTCTTCTCCAGAGCCCCATGTATTTCTTGCCCTCTGAACCAGACCATGTTTTCTTAAGTAGTTACATTATTCTGCAGAGCTCTTGACCATGCTGTTTTCTCACCACCTCAAGAGCCTCAGGAAGTTTTCGCATATCACCCCTTGCAAATGGAAGTAGAAGGTTAGAGATTCACAGAAACAGATTCAGCTCCTAGGAACAGTGTCTCAGGCTGTGTCCTCTGGCTCCAAAAGCTCCAAAGGAAAAGTAGAAGTGACAAATTAGTTAAAAATGGCCCAGAGAAGAGGCCAATAAACAGCCTGCCTATGTTCAGCCCAATAGCTTCTGCAAACATGAGCAGGACCTTGTGCAGGATAGCAGGCACCACTTGCAAGGTCTCTGGGCAGGTCAGCTGTATGGTGCTATCATGTGGCAGGAAAGAATTTTGAAATATGGTTCTCTTTTCTAATAGATTTACGCAAAAGTTCTCCAGCGAAAACGTCTAATTTTTCATTACTTCTTTTAGCATCTCCATACATATAACAGAATTATCACCTTATCTACCAGAAAAACTGGATACTGGGATAGCAAAAAGTAATTGGGGTTTAATGCAGGCTCCCTTTTAAATGCAACATCATACGAGGAGCAGCTGAGGGTGCTGGGGTTGTTTAGCCTGCAGAAAAGGAGGCTCAGGGGAGACCTTATCACTCTCTACAACTCTGTGAAAGGAGGGTGTAACCAGGTGGGGATCAGCCTCTTCTCCCAAGCAGCAGAACAAGAGAAAAAAGGCCTCAAGCTGCACCAAGGGAGGTTCAGGTTGGACATCAGAAAGAATTTCTTCACTGAGACTTGTCAAACATCAGAACTGTTGCCCAAGGAAGCAGTGGAGTCACCAGCCCTGGAAATGTTCAAGAAATGACTCAACATGACACTTAGTCCTATGGCTTAGTTGATATGGTGGTACTAGATCAAAGTTTGGACTCAATGATCTTGGAGGTCTTTTCCAACCTTAATGATTCTGTGATATCTGTTAAGTATGGTTGAGAGTGGAAGGGTCATCCTCTGTGTTACATTCTGCTTAATCTACAAAACCTGTAGATGGCAGTTTCCAGGTGGCAAGTTTTGTGGCCAGATCGTAGGTTGTCTTAAAGAGGATGGCACTGTAATCACATGTTCCAAAATCTTGCTCCTCAAGCTCTCCATATATTACATTGTAGGTGGTCCATTTTCTTCAACTCCTCCCTGCCTTTTTCCTTACAAATCTCAACTGTAAGTCTTAAGTCACTGCTTGTTTGTAAATTAAAATTACACAAGAACTGTCTGAAATTCAACAGGAGCAAATGCAGGGCCCTGCACCTGGGGAGGAATAGCCCCAGGCACTAGCACAGGCTGGGGGCAACCTACTGCTCTGAGGAGAAGGACCTGGGGGTCCTGGTGGACAACAAGCTGTCTGTGAGCCAGCAGTGCCATGGGGGCCAGGAAGGACAATGGGATCCTGGAGAGCATTGTAAGCAGGTTATGGAAGGTGATCCTGCCCCTCTACTCAGCCCTGGGGAGGCCACACCTGCAGTGCTGTGTCCAGTTCTGGGCTCTTCAGTACAGGAGGGATGTGGAGCTCCTGGAATGAGTCCAGTGAAGGGTGGCAAAAGTTGATCAAGGAACTGGAGCATCTCTCTTATGAGAAAAGGCTGATGGAGCTGGGCCTGTTCAGCCTCAACAAAAGACAACCAAGAGGGAACCTCATCAATATCTGTAAGTATCTGGAGGGTAGGTGTCACGAGAAAAAATCCAGGCTCTTCTCAGTGCTACTGAGAAATAGGACAAGGTACAATGGGCAGAAACTGATGCACAGGAAGTTCCACCCAAACATGAGGAAGAACTTTGTTACTTTGCAGTCACTGAGCAGAGGAACAGGTTGCCCAGAGAGGGTGCAGAGTCTCCCTCAGTGGGGTTATTCAAGAACCATCTGGGCACAGTCCTGTGCCATGTGCTCTGGGATGACCCTGTTTGAGCAGGGAGGCTGAACCTCACCCACTCTGTGACTCTGTTATCATGGAAGGAAAACAAGAGATTTCAAAGTTTGCAGGACAATTGCAAGTCACTTGGCACCTGGTATATTGAGGCTTTTCTTCAAGTAGGTCAAGGTGGCAGGGCAAGAAATCACATCTTTTGGACTGAAACTTTTGTTTCTGTGCTTGTAGAGCACAGTGACAGGACTCTACTCCTACTCTTCATATCTGATAGGCACAAAAAGTTAAATGCAGCCTAGTATTTCAGCAGGGCTGTTACACACTCTTTGTCCTAGGGCTATACAGAAACTAGAGATCCTTATGACACAAAGCTGCAAAATTACATTAAGAATGCTCAAAGGCTTATTACAAGAAGTTCCCTCTATAGTCCTACATCCCCACCACAGGATGGTGAGCACTTCAAGCTAGCCTTCCTGGCCATCACAGGGTTAATGAAATCTGCAATTCAAAACCAGCACATCTACCATGTTTTCCAGTCTTGTCTGTCTCATAAATCTGGTTTCATACCATGTCTTTTCCTTTTCCCACAAGCTTAATGAGTAACTAGTTTGCCTCTGGTAACACTGCCTCTTTTATTGCAGCTTCTAGGAGTAGAATTCCTCCTTCTTCTCCAATCTCCTCTCTCCATAAGTACACTCAATCCTTCAGACAATGAAGAATGGATCTCTTTACTCATTTGGTAAACAATGCAATATTTTATATTTGTAAGACTTCATTCAAAGACTAATCTAGTCTAATGTCTACAGGGGTTTTTCTTAGAGCAGGTTCTTCATTGCAATGTTAAATTTCATGGTTTCTTGAGTAATTTCTCATTGTACTAGTGGGACAAGTTCTTACTGCACACCCATGTCACTCATCTTTAATATCCATAAGCTTATGAGCACAGCCTAATTCTTCCTCTTTCAAATCTGTCACAGTCCTAGGGTAAAGGTCTTTCCAGTGGCAAACACATTACTCAGAACATTCTGAATGACACACCTGTAACAAAGGAAAAAGCTGAATTTACTCTCCAGATAAGCAAGCTGAAAAGCCAGTTACCTTCCAAGATTAAGATCCAGTTATTCTCAAATCCTATTTCTCCCCTGATCTCAATCTTGCAGGATCGATCTTTAAAAGCAGAGATCTTAACTCCACATTTTACTTGACAATAATTAAAAATAAAAATAGTCTCACTGAGAGGTCATCCATATTACACAATGCAACTATTAGAAGTGTCTAAGAGACTAAATCTGAAAAAACAGATCTTTGCTGAGTGAAGAATTTGCCAGGAGGTTAAGCAAAGTAGAGCAAGGTGAGGTTTCTTACCTGCTATGAAGTTCAATATTTAAAGCTCATCAGGGAGAATATGTTTCCTTATCTCTTTTCATCAGAGAGGCAGAGATATTTTTTTCTCATTTTGCAGAAAAGAGTAACCAATTTGTTTCAATGGTCAAAGGATTTTCTACAGGAATTGTTTCGCCAAAGAAAATAATTTTTTTAAAATAGAATTCTTTGTAATAAAATTTCTATTTGTAATTGATCACTCGTCAGACTCCAGGTCTTCCACATAGTTCTGTCAGGCAACAGTGATTGACAAAACCTGCTCTCTCCTCCACCAGCAGGGCAAGTCTCAGTTGCCAGAGAGCAAAACACACGTGAACACAAGCCCATGAAATTGAGCTAATAACTCCATCCTCTTTACACAGGAGGGCAGACACTTCTAGCTGCTGCACTGCCTCAAGGAATTACTCTGAACTATTTGTGGTGTGGGTGGAGAAGAGCTTTTCAGGTCTCAGTCAGGGCTGGAGCAACAGTCCCAGCAAGTTCCATTAGTCACTCACCTCCCTTGTGCAGGACCCTGAGCTAACCTCCGTCTATTTTCATTGCTGTAATCTAAGTCCATCTAACAAGTTTGAACATTTTAAAGCTAAGCACATGCACTTCCCCACTGAGCTATCAGGGGTATCAGTGATGGGAGTGCCTCACACAAGGGCTTCATATCCGAGTGTGGGCTGCTGTACCAGCTCCTCTGGGTCTCACCAGGAACAGGCAGCATCTTCAGAACAGAGCTCCAGCAGCAGAGGAGTGAATGAAACACAATTGCAGGCTATATAGAGGCTTCCCACACTCCTCTGCACAAGAAAATCTCCCCTTGATTTGAATCTCGTCTCAGGGAGTGTTTCTGTGATGGAGAACGTGAACCCATACAGCAGTGTTTGCCCTGGTATGTCATCACAGAAGCTGCATGTGGAATCAGTAGTGGGTAGGTCACAGCTCCTGAACCTCAGGCTCCTCAGCTCTACCTCCACCTCATATGGATATTGCAGTAGCAGTTCCAGCTTTGCATCAGCCCACAGAAAGATGTTTCCTTCCTATTACGTCAGAGAACTTGTATGTAGGAGGAATCCTTCGAAGTCACGTACCTCTAACACTGTGAGCACCTGCTGAGGAACCCTTGTATTAAAACACTCAAGAGCAGCTTACACACCTGGAGGGAGATTGAAAACCATTCCTAGACACCTGGGCTTTGCAAATTTGATTCCCACAACTGATAAAATATAAACAAAAAGGGGTTTGCCTTTCAAAGGAGGAAAGCCACAGCACTTTCCCAACGACAGACCAGGCCTCCTCAGTTTCTGTGGGTGGGGCAGGAGAGCTAAAGGGAGTTACAGAGAGTGTGGCTTTATTTTCCAGTGCTATCTGTGTCAGGCTGGAACATGCCCCAGAAATTATGTCATCTCAAAAACAGAAGAGCTTTCCTTTGATGTTAATCAAGCAATATGTTTAGCAGATTGATCATCAGACAAATTTCAAGTAGCAATTGCCACCTGCCTCCCTTTCGATGGTCTTTAAACTTTCAAAGAGTTGACACTTAGTGGCTGAGGGATGTAAATTGAGACATTTAAAGCCTTAATGGAGGATTTTATCATGCAAAATATATTCTTCAAGCCCTCTAAGGATGAGATGTTCTAGTTTGCATCAAACAAACTAAGTATTACAGCAGTTTGACAGCCATTTCTCTCAATCTCTGGCTTAAAATTAATTAGAAACTGTCTTGGTTTATCACCCCAGGACAGAAACAAAAGGCTGTTCTCTTTTTTTCTCCTTTTTTTTCCCCTTAAATTCATCAATTGCTATGATTTGGAGTGTTTTCCTTGAGACAGTTTAGCAGCTCTCATAAAAATCCAACTTGCTCATGCTATACTTACCATGGGCAATCTGCATCCAGGAATGCTGGGGAAGTCATGATGCTCCATGTGGTAGCCTACATTGAAGGTGAGCCAGTTCAGAGGTCCATAATAAGAGTATGTCTCATATCCTTTTAGGAACATGTAGTGTTCTGCTATGAAGTGTCCAGAAATGGGATGAAAACCCAAGCAAAGAATTGTACCTGCTATTAAGTAAATAACAGGTTTGAGCCCCCACAGGTAGTAAATGATGAGGTCTACAGAAAACTGGACGAGAGCGTTAAGAATTTCCATCCGTGTAATTGCTTTGGGGTTCACATACAGGGGTCTCAGACTGTAGAACAGAGGCTGGAGGAACAGCCAAAGCAGTTTCCGAAGCGGAGTGCAGAAAAACCAGCCCTCAAAGTCTGTGGGAATGTCCACATCCAAGCTGTCCCCTCCCAGATACCGGTGATGGTCAATGTGGTATTTCTTGAAGGAGGCAGAATAGGGGATGCCAACGGGCAGGTTGGCAAAGACTGCGAACCATCGGTTCCACTTGGCCTGCTTGTTCCCAAAGGCCACGTTGTGTGAAATGTCATGGATGGCGAGGGTCAGGGAATGGTTGATGCAACCCCCAAAAGCATAAGCCCAGAAGAAAATCCATTTCCAAGATAAGTCTTTCACCAGGTAGCATGCCAGCAGCTGCATGAAAACCATTCCAGATACAATCCACTTTAAATGTGGATCTGGTCCCATCAGAGTCTTGATCTCTGGATACTTTGCTAAAGGGAAAAATGTACAGAAAAACTTGGTTAAATCATAATTAGGTAAACACAATCATCACTGTGACTCTCTGTTTTCATCACACTATGTTTGAGGCCCTGGTTTTATAAAATGTTAATTCCAAAGTAGGATTTCCACTATACAGACAGTTTTATTAGTTCCAGCATCACGTCCAATTGTGATTGATATTGCTATATATAGACATATAAAAAAATACCCTGATGGTCTCTCTGTGGCATCATCTGCCTTCCCCACAATGAGTATTGCTTCACACTGATGAGTAGCAATATGCCAAATCCCACAAAACTTAAACTCTAAGAAACACCTTGGCTCACCAGGTTTTGCTCTGTGGTTAGATGACAAACACAGCATTTAAAAAAAGATTCCTAATTATTTGAGTGTTTACCAGTGCTAACAACAGGTACAACTCTTCACACATGGTAACATCTCAGTAAAGTCAGTAATACTATCAGGATTTTGTAGGAAAATTGTATAGAAAATTCTTCTCTGTTCCCATGTCACATACCAAAAGCAGGCATAAAAGCCACATGGATTATCACACAACAGCTTAATGAGGCCTCACAAATAGTGCAGTACAGAGTCAGAGAGACATGGGCTAGGCTTGAAAGTCTGATTCATGTCAGGCCAGGACCAACTTACTAATCTTCAGTCCCACCATCCATTCATCTGTCTTTTAAAAAGAAAATAAAATACAGAGTACAGCCAATCCTCTAGGTGCTGTTCACTGATTCACATCTCCTCTTTGCAAATCCACACTTCTCACTTCCAGTTTTAACTTGCACAATTCCTTCTGCTGCCTTATGGCTTTTACCCATGTACTGACCTCCCTCCTTTAACCCATACTTTGCATTTTTCAGTAATTGCAGTTTACACAGATATGTGCATAGAGAAGTCACTCATTCTGAACCTTGAGGTTACACAGTGTCCCTGTGAGTTTCATGGGCCCATTTTATGAATAGAAAAGTAAACATCATCTGACTGCCACAGTATAATACCAATACAATAAAACCAGATTACAATGATCTGCATCTATGCAGCTGTGTCTACTATAAACAAAGGCTGGAGACAATACATGTAATTTATGTGACCTTGAAAGCAGTGGCAGATACTGAGTGCTAGGTGCAGAGAAGGTTTTTTTAGAAGTGAACCCTGAAAAGGTTACAGAAATTCAAAGAGATGAAGTGCTACTTAAAGAAGCAGGTTGATGTGGTCATGCTCTGTAACCATTCCAGCAACCCTTGAGCCTCTTGGCCAACTTCAGCCCCTCTTGACAGAAATTAGAGATTACAAAGATTAGAGAAGTAGTGTGGAAGATGAGGACAAAGGAGATATACTCAAATCTTGTGAGGACAAGGAGGCCAAGGTCACCATGAGGAGTATTCAAGCAAGAGAGAAATTTTTGAAGTGCTGGGAAAGCTGCAGTGGAAGTTCATATCTTCCTAAAGTCAGGAATTTTTTTTGACAAAAATCTCCAGAAAATCCAGGGTTTTTTTTTTTTTGTTTTGCTGTTTTGTTTTTTGTTGCTGTTTTCACCATTCTTGAAATTATATGTTTCACACCAATAAAGTTGTTCTCTAGTACCTGAATAGGCACTAAAGTTTTACACAAAGTGCTGGTTATGCAAAGTTCACTCTAAAGTGTAACAATATAATGACCTGGTCAGAAACAGTTACAGACATGCAGTTTTATGTAGCTTAATCACTTTTTCAGGGGCATCTGTCCAAAACCCAGAAAATGCTTTAATAAGTCAAGCCACCTCAAATACTGTCACATCAAGTAGAGATAGGTTACTGCAGTCACCAGAAGAGATGAAATGTGAAACAACCAAATGTGTTCCTTAGCCTGGTCAAATTGAGGCCACATTGACCCCCCCAAAAAAAAAACCCAAAAAAGACATTTTAATGGGATGGGAAAATTGCTTAGAGATGTTTCATACTGTCATTTGAAAATAATGACATTTTTTTACCTATTTCTTTCTGTGGCAGCCAACAAGGACTGCAGATTTCGTTTAAAAGGTCCCAGTGCAGTCAGTGCCAAACAGTGTGTGCAGGCAGCAATGCAGGCAGGCTGCACTTATCGCAGGTGACAGCTATTAAGTAACTTGCCAGGGTTTAATATTAAATTCAACACATGATTAACTCCAACAGTAAATTTTTGCATACTAGTCAAACCACAATACTGTGGCTGTTTATCATTAATACAGATATAAGCCATGGCATGGAAAAATTTCAAGTTTCTCCTCATGAAGAAACTATGGCTTGGGCAGGGAGTGGTGCTGGTAAGCTCAATGGAGGCTAAAAGCTCCACTGGTGGATAGCCTGCCAGAGACCTGTTGGTTCAGGAGCACTTCAAATGCAGAATGTTGAATGCTGACCCTTTTCTAACTTGAAAAAGCAAGCACTCTTCCGTGAGACGCATTTAATACCAGATTAAGTGATCTTGATGATTGCAATTCATTAATAAAGGGCTGACACAAAGTTGTGGTAACACATATTTTTATCTCATTTTTCCCCTGTGTTCATGCCTTGCAGTTAGCTGAAAGAATGCTAGTAAGGCAAGAGCCTCACTTGCTGCTGAAAAGCCTGGACATCCCTGTAAGGTTGCTGTGACAAGTGTCTGTAGGTGCTATGCAAACAAGACATCACCCACCTGCAGGAAAAAAAGGCAACAGAGACTCAGAGGCACAGTGAGAGGGCATGGAAAGAGGAGAAAAAACCCCAATCCTATCATTCATCCCTACTGTATTGGGGGATGGGGGTGGATGAAGGTATGGACACACAGCACAGAGAACAACACTACAGTTATGTGGCTGCATGGGACCAAGTTTTGTCCTTTACAGTCTGATGAGAACAGGAGAGACTCGGCTACTCTGGTGCCTACACAGCACATCTTCCACCCTCCAGCTCACTGAGGAAGTCTGTAAGCTCTGGCCAGCAGATAGGTCATCCATGTGTTCTGCTTCAAGCTGTCCAGACTGAGCCACTGTCCTGCTGTGAGAGGGTGGGGACACTGGTGTAGATGTACAGCAGTGCACAAGGATGATATTTTGTCTCCAAGGTCAGCACACTGCCAAAGCAGCACAGGAATTTTAGTACAGCAAATAAATGTAGTTACTAACTCTGGCCAGACAGCTCCACAGTCTCTGCTCCATGATGCAAGACAGCATTCCCCACTCTTACAAGTCAAGAGAGAACAAATGCTGCAAGTATATTTTCGGAAGGGTTCACAGTTCTGAAACAACCCATTTACTGAACTAACTTTTCACTCCACTGTTCTACACATCTTTCAAGAGGTGGGTCTCACTCACCAAGTGCCTAAACTTAGTCAAATTAGTCTGACTCTGTATTTTGTTCTGTTGATGCTTCTCTCTGGAGAGTCAAGAGCACTCACCCTGCAGTGATCCTCAATTAGGGCTGGAGCAATTGTTCCTGGACAGGCCACTGGCTGCCAGGTCCTGCTGTTCCTCCTCCTCAGGAGACAGCAAATACCTTATTCTGAACTCTCATTCATCCTCTGTGCTACTGACCCTGTCCCTGAGATAACTCAGACAAGTCCCAGTGATGATCAGCACCAGACACAGTTTCTCATTGATGTGACTCCACATACTTCACACTTGCTCATTTTGGTACACATGGGCTTTGAAAGTGAATGAGAGCAGGAGCTGTACACAGAGACGGTGGTGATGGAGGTTTAAAGGAGCAGCAGCCTTGCCCACATCCATGAGAAACTAGTAGCAAGAAGATAAGAACTTGAATTTCTTAATTTTCCTTTCTTTTCCCCCCAAGTGCAGCATACTGATACAGTCAAAGTGGAATATTCCTCAGCATAAGTCACTTAGAAGGTTTGTAAAAGGGAAGGAGGAAAAAAAACCCAACAAACTGTGATACTGCTGTTCTGGACTACATTCTGTTGATTATGAGTCCTTGCCAAAACAGGTAAGAGACACCAGACACAGGATGTCAGCTTTACTGCTCCATGTCCTATGCTGGAGCTGGTATTTGTACCAAATAAACAAAGCAAAACAGTTTACTAACATTATTGTGCTTTGCCTTGTAGCAGCTCAGCTCAAAAACATGCTTATAAAAGCACAGCACAGCCAAGTCCTCAATGAATGACATGGATGAGTTGGAGTAAGTCCGGAGGAGGGCTGTGAAAATTGTCAGAGGGCTGGAGCACCTCTCCAATAAGGAAAGGCTGAGAGAGTTGAGAATGGAGAATGTTCAGCCTGGAGAGGAAAAGGCTTCAGGGAGACTTTATTGCCTTTCAACATCTATTGGGGGTTTATAGGAATGAGGGGGCCTGGCTGTTTAGTAGGGCTTGTTGTGATAGATCCCTTGATCTATTATCTTGGTAATGGTTCCAAGCTAAAAGAGGAGACATTAAATCTAGATATAAGGAAGAAAATTTTTACAGTGAGGGTGGTGAAACACTATCACAGGTTGCCCAGAGAGGTTGTAGATGCCCCAGGCTGGTTGAGGCTCTGAACAACCTGATGTAGTTGATGATGTACCTGGTACTCAAACCATTCTATGATTAATTCAAACAATGCATGAGTCAAGACACAGGTAGGATATACAGAGGACAATATGAATGATGACACCTTCAGGTTTTTCATAGTCTCTTATGAAAAAGCCCCTCCAGTACACAAAATAATAAGAAACATTTTTGGCCCAGCTCATTACACTGAAGTTTTATATACATCCACTGTGAAAGGACAAGCATCTTGATCTTGTATTTGTCACCCACAAGTTTCTAAATAGCTTTGTGCTAGCTGGTCCAAGGGCAGTGGGTCACCCAGAAGAGGCCACCAGAGGGAAAGTACCACAGTGGTGCCACTCTGCCACTGCCAACAGAGGTGGATGATGTCAGCACATCGCTATGTCAGCAGCTGTAACCTGTCTGCTTACATTTGTTAATTAGCTAGTTCAGAGTACAGGGATGTAGGAATGCTAGAAATAGGGCTTCCAGCTCCTTCTGAAACAAAAATCTGCAATATGG